GACTGAAGCTTCTTAGGTGAGAGTTCAATTTGCTCAAGTGGGAGTTCTTGAATGCAACAAATGGGAGATCTATTTTTTGGGGGAGAATGGGCTCTCCTTATATACGTTTTGTGTGGGAATATTATGTAAGTAAAAAGGTGATGTAATGACTTCAGAATGTGAGAAGAATATTCCAAAAACTGGAGCAGAATGTTCTAGCAGGTGCAAAAGAACATTCCAGAATATTCATGGTGGGATAATGACATCATTCTGAGTCACTATGAGTCACTATGAGTCATTATGAGTCATTGGAATGTTCTAGCAAATTCCATGGAACATGACATCATTATGACATCACTATGATATCATATCTTTCAACCAAAATACCTGCAGGAGTGTAGGTGAAGTCCTATGACATCATTATGACATCATACCCTGTAGGTACAATTTTATGAAGCATCTGATTAGTCAGAGCATCTCAATAGAAAAGTAAAGTAAAGAAACACTAGAGAAAACAACTCAGAAATAATGGAACAAATAATAGTACACAATACGCGGGCTTTTTAGATAGGTTTTTGTTAGGCTTTGAACTTTTCTCTATGGGTTTCTCTAGCCAAAGTGAATAAGCCAAATGAAAGGCAATACCTTAACCTTCATTTTGCTTCTCATATCAACTAGGTCATTATGTGATTCCCATCTCACATATGACTTTTCTTCAAAACATGGTGGATTCATGAATCACTGAGGGAAAACTGAAACTATTGGACCAAGGTTTAATACCAAGGTATGGGTTGACTAGTCTGAGGACTAAGCTAACAGACTTTGTCTTTTAGGGGGATACCTAGTAGTCATGTCCATGCATGATTCCCAAATCATGCAGGACACCGCTACCGGTAGTCTTACGTCGGCAACCCATACCTAGTCTTACCTCGTCATACCTAGTTATACCTGGACTCTCCTTACCTCGGCCTAGACTTACCTGCTGCTCATTGGCATCGGACTCCTCACCTTGCATCGGTATCTTGCATCAGTGTCTTTCATCGGTATCTCGCATCGGGTGTACCATCAGTATCCCATATCGCATCGGACATTCTCGGACTCGGACCTTCGGTCAGTTGGATATCTCAGGTCTTAGATCTTAGTTTCTTCCTTTCTCTTCCCTTGCACTATTAGATGGAAGTGCTTCAATAGCAGTCCCCTTGGGTCAAAGTACTGCACTCGCACCCATTAGGATTGTTAGTTGGTATATCTAGCTGACTACTATTTCTTTCACCACACCGCTGTAGAGACTCGATCCTGGGTAGCCTCACAATGGCACATATTGCAACATAGGTCGAGTCTACAGTATCATGCATGTAACACGACACTTGCGCGATAAACATGACGTTCGCGCGACGCGCGCGACTTAGGCGACACTTCCGCGACATAGGTGACACTTGCGCGACTTGCGCGCGCTTTAGGCGAATTTTCCCGCGCCTAAGCGCTATAGGGCGCCTGACTTCCCACTGTGTTTTCCCATGTCCAACCAAGTTCCCAGGTATGCATTTCTCCATTTATCATTTATTTCAACATCGTACCATGTTTATTTTCACTTGGTACACATTTTTCATTACACATTTTTTTTTACTTTACACAACACACATTACCACGGACCACCATCATCATAGACAGTCACCATCTCCGAGTTTTTATTATGTTTTGAATAAATCATCGCAAGCCCTAGTAGCAGTTAGCTCTAGTGGCCATATCCGCATCAGTTGTCTTATCAGCATCTCAGTACACATCTTAACATCTCACTATCGCTCGCATACCGCTTTCACCCAGTTCCGCTTTTCGACGCGCGACTTTCCCGCGCTTCGCGCGCCTATAGCGCCTTTGTTCCCGCACTTTCGCCTTATCACGCGCTTTGCGCATTCCCCCTAGAGTTGACCAGTGGATATTTGCTTTCTCCGCTTCCCCTAAGGGACGAACATATCGCACTCATATTTTCCTCCCTTCAACAATTATATCAGCTGCACCCTCAGCTGAGTTGAAGATCCTTCACCGCGCCCATCCTATCGGTCAAAAGGTGTGTAATAAGGGGGTGGGGTGGGTTATCTTGTCCCTGTAACTTGTATGTCACACTATCTCATATGGTCTGCCCTACTTAGTCTATAGTTAACCTGCGTGTGCATATGACAGACAGAAAGAACTCACATGTACCATTTTGCACAATTCATCAATTTTCTTGGTGGGGGTGCTGGACCGACATCATAGATTCATACAGTACAGCATTCCGATCATGTTGTTGCAATCCGCCCTACATGACATATGGTCCGCCCTAATTATTCTATAATGGGGTTGCGGTCCACCCTATGTGACATATGGTCCTCCCTAATTAGTCTATAATGGTGTTGCAGTCCGCCCTAGTTAGGCAATGTCATGGGTTTTGGATACCCACGTGGGTCATGGGTAGGGGTACTTGTGGGTTGGGTAGGGGTCTCAGCTTGTTGACCCTTCAAATACCCATACCCCTAGGGTGGGTATGGGTGCGGTGACACGCATGAAACCTGTTTCGTACATGATTACGGACACATAACATACTCTCGTACAACCTAATACTGCCAATAAAGGCAGTTCTAATTTCTTATGGCTTTATTACAGTTTACTATAATTTTCTTGAAGGTTTTTCATAGCTACATGAATTAATCATTCATATTATGTACTTAGCACAGTCAAAAAACTGTGTTAAAAAACCTTATCCTTTCATTAGTAAGCACATTCCCGCACCTTTTGGGATTTTCTCGTACATTTTCCCACCTAATGAGCCATATTCGTGTTAACATCTTAACATCTCAACATCTGTGCAGTCATCATCTGAGCAGTGTCAATCTTCTTACGTAATCTACATTTTGTTTAATGATTAGTCATAGTTTCTGGACAGTTCCGAAATAGCGGTAATCTCTAAGTGAACATTTGGACACTGAGTCATAGTGAGTCACATGGAGTCATTATGAGTCATTTCTGTTATGACTCATACCAAGTCATTATGAGTCACTATTCCATATTTAGTAATTGCATAGCCACCTGTAGAGTAGTATATAAAGGGATATAGTTTCTCTCTTTGAATAATAAGATCCCTTTTTAGAGAGTTTGCATATCTCTCAGAAAGTTTCTCACCCCTTAATATCTGTGTGAATACTGAGTGAATATTAGTTTATTCCCTCCACTCTTTTGTCACTGTTTCCCACGACGTTCTGACTACCTGAGGCCACCTCTAAGTCACATTAAATTACTCTAGCTAATGCACGGTTACTAGTCGTCTAGTGTAGTTTCACTGCAATTCTCTTTACGACACAGGAAATCAATTCTGTGGGGAGAAATCCACGTACTTTAACGATTGAGGACGATAAATAGGACTTATACTTTAGTCAACAATATTAAGAGCTTGGCCACTTAAGACTACATCAAGAAGGTGTATTCTAGTCTGGACTGCGTCATTACTCATTGTGAGATCCTGAGCAGCAGAAAGGTCGGTTTTGAAGCCAAGTATTTGATTGATTCAACTGTATCCGACTCCTAGTTTGATCTCCCCTGATTGTGAGAATAAGGAGTATCCCAGAGATATCGCTCTGACTCACCACGTATCACTGTAATTCACGTAACTTTTCGTAATCTGCGTACTGTCGCATCATTATCCCTGAAGAACCCTAAGTACTGCATTAAGCCAGTTAATGGGCATTGTTCCTGAGATTCCCGAATATCTCACCCCTTTTTTTAGTCATTGGTAAATTTGCTCAAGGAGAACACAATCTATATTTGCACCCCCACGAACGACCACGTTATCAACCATTGGTATTTGTCTGAACCGTTGACCGTGGAGGATAAGTGAAATTTGGTGTTTTTATTGCCTTTCACATCTTAGTAAGACACCGGCGCGAGATACCGATGCGAGATGCCGATGCGAGATACCAAGGTGAGGTGGGGAGTCTGATGCCGATGAGCGGCACGTAAGTCTAGGCCGAGGAAAGAGAGTCCAGGTATAACTAGGTATGACGAGGTAAGACTAGGTATGGGTTGCTGATGTAAGACTACCGGTAGCGGTCCGGATCTTACAAGGCCTAGGTAAAGAAACCTTAGATAGAGTGCACTTAGAGCGGTCTAGGCACGTCCGATGATAAAAAGCAAGGGGGATCAATTTGCACAATCGAGGACTAACTAAGGTGACTCCTACAACGGTACCAGGTATGTCCGAGGAAGGGAAGTAAGGGATAATACAAACTTGAGTCCTATTTATCTAACTGCGTGAACGTCCGGAATCGCACAGGCGAGAGTAGTAGCGAAACGTGAGGTACTCGGGTCAATATGTAATAAGGCTCGCGAGTGCTGCGGCCATGGGAATACATGTAATAACGCCTGCTGTTTGTTCAGTAACAGTAAAATGAGCTTAAAACGCACCAATGGAGATAGGTGGACATGGGTAGGACATGGGAGGATTTGGTACCGATGGGACGGAACAGTCGGCCGAGGTGTGCGATGGCCGATCCGACAAGCAAGGGACAGTTAAGACAACCCTGGCTCCTCTGCGAGAGACCGAGACCACGGATCCGTATTGGCTGAGTCGGACATAGACCGGCGCAACATAGGTGAGTTGAGTGAGTCGAGACTTTGCAAGGAAGTGGTGTATGGATGCGATGTGGATATCTAGGCTGCTTGACTCCTATAGTGAAATGGGGTTCTGCGAGGCTAGCCCGAGCTTGAACACCACATCTGCAGGAGACTCGAATACTGACTGTCCCCAGTCAGTGGAACATGATTTGGACTTAGCGAAATTTTCCATCAATAAGGGCACATGACTAGTATCCCAATATGGAAATGATGATCGGGCACGGAGGTCAATAGAACTGTGGACATGTGGAATCACGATCGAGCCGGGACAATGGATAGACGTGTGGGTGTGGACACGCGGTGGACGCATCTCGGTTCCCTATAAATTGGCTGTCCTTCGTACTTCTCTCCCTTCATCGATTATCGCATCTACCATGTCTACTCCCTTTACTTTCTCTTTTACCTCGCACATCGACCCTGAGGCAGAGTCCCTTCAGCGCGACTTCGCTGCTTTACGGCTTCGACTCGACGGTGAATCTGCGTGTGTGCCAAATGACAAGGGCGAGAAGTGTACCGGCGTGTACTCCCTCTACGCCGAGCAACTGAGGGCCGTTAAGGAGGAGGCCACGAAGCAGGCCGAGGTCGCTGCCGCCAAGCAGGTCAAGGGGAAGGGCAAGGGAAAGGCAGCAGAACCCGAGGACGACCCCATGGGCGAGAAGGACACCAAGGGAGAAGATGAGGAGCAGGTCGGCAAGGAGAAGGAAGTGCTGGTGATGGTGAGTGGTTTCCTTTGTTTCCTAGTCCTTGGGTGCTGAGTCATTTCCTTCAGCGTCCAAAGGCTCGGATGAGCGTGGCCAGTAAGGTCATTAGGAACATCCCTAAGAGTGAGTGGTGCGAGCACGTTCAGTCTGCTTGCCTCGGCAAACCTGACCATGCGTGCGACCCTTGCCGCAAATCCAAGGTCAAATGCAGTTTCTCTACCGGCCGGACTGGTAAGTGTTCTCATCTTTCTTCCTCTATCTTTACTAATCTTTTTCAGGCCCTGTCAAAAATGCCAAGCCGATGCAGAAAGTGTCCTCTGCGGCAGAGTCTGCCCCTGCTGGTCGCGCTGCAAAACCGATCGCGGATCTCATCCGTCGCACTGCCTCTGACCAGGTCCAGGTCGAGGCCATGGATGTGTCGGATGCCGAGGACGAGGTTCCCACGCCTAGGAAGCTGATTCGGGCTCAGCTGGTACCTGTTGCCCAAGGTAGGAAGAAGTTTGCCAAGGCGTCAGAAGAGGTGAATCAGTCGGATGGAGAGAGTTCTTCCTCGGCTGAGGATGAGGTAAATGTGCAGATGAGGATTGAGTTGAGTCGGTTGGAAAGTCAGTTCACCCAGGTCCAAGGGTTGATGATAGAGCTGGCGCAGGGGATGAACTTCATTCGCACCTGCATGGAAAGGAAAAGGAAGATGAGGAAGTAGATAGTACCTTCCCCTGTAAAATACCGCGCATGTACTAGTATTCTGAATTTCCAAGCGCCTTTGTGGTCGGTCCTAATCTTGGTGTGAATAAGCCCAGGAACCTTGAATCCATAAGTCCCCATGTCCATATCCCATGTACCGGTCCTAAATCCATTGCATGCCTAAGAGATAGATAAGGGAAGATGAGCATTTGCGTGTGATGCAGACAAAGGTGAAATGATACAGAACACTTCGCGAACTACCGTTCGTCTTGTCTTCATTGTTGCTCTTCTTCCTCTATCCCTTCGGCCGAGCGGTACAATCAGCTAGGAGTCTCAGATAGTCAATGGGCATGGTGCGCTGTCTACGCGTTCAAAGAAAAGATGTACATTAATCTGCGATGCACAATATTGTCCGATCATCGGTAGTCCTTGGAAAGTCTGTGTGCAAGAGAGAGTCTATGCATGGATCGCGCATATCATATAATAATGGAAACAGAGTAAAATGAAACTGAGGCACCGGACGAAACCCGGGGTAAAACTGAGACTATCGTACTAGGGAGATGTTTTTGTATTTTTCTGTTTGTATGAGATAGCTGAAGTCCAATGGAGTGATGAGGGTTATGCGTCGAAGCCGAGGTCGTGTTCTTCGTCATCCGACTCGAATACATCTTCTCCTGCCAAGGTATCCAATGCTTCATCGTCTAGACCTGTGAATGGAATGTAATGGACACTTTAGTTTCACTGCGTGGAAGATATGGTATCAACGGAAAAGGCCGCATAGCGAAGCCGAGATACCGATCCGTCTAGCCCGGTCAATAGGTACGATCCTCCTTTGGTACAGTGTCGAACTATCATCGGTCCGAGGTACCGAGGCTTTGTCTTGCGACTCAGCTTGACTCAACCTTTGAGTTATGGACCAGGACTAAGGTACCCGGTTTGTGAAGTCGAATCTGTAATGAGTCTCGGAAAGCGTTGCTTGAAATTCCTTATTGACTGATACCGAGCCTTGATGACTTTCTCCTTGTATTGTCTAGATCTTCTCGGCGTTTTTGGAGTTGCCGTGCATGCCATGCGATGAGGGTCCATAGTAGAGAAGGTGTCTTGATTCAGGAGGTCCTACTAGGAATGTACCTTCAGCTAGGTCAAATGGAAAGATGGGCTCTACACTGTGAACCATGAAATAGGGGGTTAGCCCTGTACTTCGGTGGACTGTGACTCGCTCGGCCCAGAATACCGCGTGAACGGATCAGTACCAACGTGACTCGTCCCCGTCGCAACTTTTCATGATGGCCTCCCGGGACATCATAGTGACATCTTTCTACTATACCATTGGCTTGAGAGTTGTAGGCCGTGATATGGATAGGATGGATTCCATATCGCACAGCTAGTTCGTCAACGGCCCGCCTTAAATGCGGGCCCGTTGTCGGTAACGATTTCGGTAATAGGTCCCCATCTGCAAAGAAGTTCCTCGAATATGAACGTGGTGAGGGACTTAGTATTCTCCTTGCGTAGCATACGCCATTCAGGATATCCGGTTAGTGCACACCGAGCTTGTACTAAATGATCATACCCTCCCGCTTTAGGCATCATCATACTATCCAAGTGTGCTTTCCTGAAGATACCGCCCAGAATCGGTACGGTCGGGGGGATATGTATCTTGCGATTTTGCCGGGTCTGGCACTTGTGACATGTCCTGTTATACCATTTGATATCGTCAATGATCATCGGCCACCAAAAATGTAGAAGAAGTCGGGCACGCATGGTAAAAATACCCTTGTGCCCTAGATCGTCGTGCGCTTCTTTAAGGATAGCAAAACGGCGACGTTCTGGAACGACCAACTGGTGTCTGCCTTGGGAATGCCGACGCCATAACTTTCCTTCTAAGGCGAAGATCATATGGCAGTTGAGACAAATGATGCGAAGTCTTCATCTGAGAACCCTTCGGGTCGGGTACGGGTCTCTAGGAACTGTTGGATTTTGATCATATTCTGGTCTTGTGCTTTCGCGGTCTCGGATCGGGGTATAGCTGGATGGTCTGGTTTGGTGTCGGTGGCATCTAGGAGCGCCATGAAGGAGGGCGGATGGGTTAGTGGTTTCGGCATGGATAAGGTATATGGGTGATGCATGATGTCCGTTCCTGCACCGGCGACGGCACAGGTTCGGTCATTGGTGATATCGATGCCAAAGGAGTATGAGCGGTCAAGCCAATCCTCATGGTCATCATCGTCTACAGGGTCATCATCTGCCAATAGTCTCCTTGAGAGTCCGTCTGCACCAGTATGTTTGGAAGCAGGTACATGAACGAGTTTGAAGGAAAACAGAAGTATACCAGCTATCCATCGGTTGATAGTCGTGTTTGGTTGAAGATCCGGGTTATTGATCATACCCTTGATATACTTTGCATCTACCTCGACCGTAAGATTGGTAACGCCGAAGGTGAATACTCGCACTGCGTGAAGTGCTCTAAATAGGCCGTAAAGCTCTAGCTTCGCTTGTGAGTAGCGGGTCTCAACTTCAGTCAAGGAGATCGACCCGAAGCGGCTCGGATATCTTTTACCATTCTCTCCGACTTGAAGGAGGATGAACCCTACAGCAATGGAAGAAGTGTCAACTGCCAAGATAACTTCTGTCCGCATTCATAGTCGATCGGCATGAGTGCGGGAGACTCTAGTACCAAGTCCTTCAGAGTTTGCATAGCTACCTGTTGTTCCTCTCCCATTCGAAGGGGACATCTTTGCACATGAGGTTGATAAGCGGGCCGAGCTATCTTCGAGAAGTTCCGGATGAATATGCATAGGACTCCGCATGTACCCAGAAAGCCCCATACTTGTGTGACGGTACGACATTCGGGCCAATCTCGGATTTTCTGCACTTTTGACTCTTCCGGAACTCTGCCTTCTAAGGTACACTTGTGCCCGACTATGATAGCGGTAGGCGCAGCTAGGACAAATTTAGTAGCGGACACGGTTACACCAACGTTCTCTAGTCTCTGCAGTATGCAGTTTATGACCTCGCAATGCTCCCATATGAAGCGACAGATACCCGGGTTTTGCGTGATGGTTTCATACGAGCCGTCAGCTCTCTGATACCACGTTTTAACTGATTTGACGGGAACATCATTGATGAATGGGGACGTATACTCAGGGATTTCATCTTGGAGAATAAATGTGGTGTCGCCTTGGTATACCTGTACTGCGTTCGCATGCCCCTGCAGAAGGGTGGTTAGCCAGTGCGGGCCTATGGGCGTGCCGAAGGTAGTGAGGTTGCGGGATTCTTTGTGTAGCACCCGTTGATCATATCCTGAATACAAGTCCATCATACCGTATACTGCGTAAACCGGCAAAGGATTCAGCTAATTGTTCGACGAAGGGAGGGAGGGAGGAGTCTCAGATAGTCACCCGCGTTCAACGGCTGGAGATCGTGTACTAAGCGGAGTGACTTCCATCTTTCTTGACTATGCAAAACCATCAGGAACGGTAGGCTGCGGTAGATGGTTCATAAATGCCAGATTGGATCTTTTCTTTGATGATGCGGATAACTTCTCCGAGTGTTGCGGGTGGGATAGGGGATGTTGCATTGGGACCAAGGAGTGTGGGGGATGGTAGGGATTTTGTACGGGGGGAAATATGTTTCGTTGAGACGGCCGCGCTCAGTCGCGTCCCATGCAAATGCTAACTCATGAGTCCGAACGAGCCAGCGGACAAGCTTAAGCTCTTCGGGCCATAACCAATTAGCGGGGTCTAAGTCTAATTTGTCTGCTCTTTCTTGAGTGAAGCGGACGCCCGGAACAAAGTCGGGTGGATGGGTTGGCAGTGTAGGCATGCCGGCCAAAGGATCGTCGGGTAGTCGCCGCGTTATTCTATATTCAGGTGGCATGGTTGTTTGTACTGTTCGGACTTTCTTCGCTACCGGCTTGTACACCATAGCGTGTCGGGTCCTATTGAAAGAATATACACTGTTAAATGCGTCGATTGACGCTCGGTCAATGATAGAGCATGTAGAGACGAGATGAACATATTGCGCTGAAAAATGCACAGGGGGAAGCAAACAAAGATGGTATGAGCTCCATGAGAGAGAGTGATGCGCGGATGGCGCGAGACGATAATTAGAACCAGGGAATAATGTAGAGGGATGAGGAACGAGAGATAAGGACAGGTGGGTCGTAGTCTGAGAGTCTCCCCGCGCGAGTAGTGGATCATCGATAATCAAAAATCCTTCTTGCGTGCCCCCGGTATAGCATGAGCACCGCTTTCGCACCTGGGACACTTCTTTCTCCATCGTTCGGTAGGGATACAGATTACCTTTCCTGAGTTCGGGTCCATGAGCGTAATATCTTGATCACCACTAGGAAGATCTTCTGTCTGACAGCTTGTTAACGTAAAGAACGGCCGACCTAGCAAGATATCAAAGTTAGCTGACGGGACAACTTGAACTTGGAACAGCATGTCGCCTGCCCCAAAGTCCAGTGGTAGGTTTTCGATGACTCCTAGCATTTCTTCCTGTGAGGTGTTAGCCGATTCCATAGTCAGTTTGTGATCAGATCTAAGTGGGATACCGCCTAATGTTCTCCAAACAGATCTCGGCATTATGATACACTCGGCCCCCTGATCAAGGACACAGGTGAGGACCCTGCCTTGGTATGTGGTAGCCTTGATACACCGTAACGCTTCAAAGTGCTCGGCAACTATCCAACCATTGTCGCTCCTTCGGAGACAACCGTCGTACTTCTTTAGGAACTTGTGTGACTCGGGCGATCCTGATAACTCGTTGACCAAGACCGATCTGACCGTGACTCGCTTGGTAGTAGTTCATTTCCTTGAATACCTTGCGAACGTCCATAGAGATGGCTATCAGTTCCCTCATAGGCATGCTGATGGAGGTATCCAACATTCGGTCGACTACACGTTTTCTCCGCTTCCTTGTCTTCGAGCGGGAAGGTGTACCTGTACTGCGTTGTCGATGGGTTAGCAGGTGTCGGGTCATCAGATGAAGAAGAGGTCGCGGTGCGCGATGTTGAGG